TTTTAAAAAAAGGTTAAGGGGCAGTTTTTTTTTTTTTTTTTTTTTTTTTTGGAAATTGCAGTTGATAACAAGAATTATAAACATAAACCTATTTCACTTCCTTACCACTTACCTTCAGTAAAATATCAGCTAGGGATCCTATAACATGCAAAGCTCCATCTTTTTTCCTTGGATCAATGTTTGGCTCTGTCAGAATCTGGTAGCAATATGCCATCATTTTTGGTAATACCTATATACAAGACAGAAAACACACAATCTCATTTTGTCAATGAGGTATCTAAACCAAATTATTTCAATAACATTGTTCTAGTTAAGAGATTCATATGATTTTTATAAGTTAAAATTTCAACTTGGCTCAAGTAACTGTGAGGTACTATGTATAGCACCTTTCCATAGTTAAAATTTAAAAGCTGCTTTTTTCAGCTTTTGTTCCATACTTGTCAAAATTAAATTAACCTCCTTGAAATTTCACATTAGTAACTAAGGTATTTTTGTTGTTTTGAGGGAAATCAGAAAAGGTGATGAAAAGACAAGAGGCTCAAACAGTGTAAGTATGTCACTGATTTCCCTTCCACCATCCTTACTCCCTTTCTGGCTTGTCCTATACATATGTAAACATGTGCGTGTGTGTGTACAAACAAGTATGAACATATAAACATATTCAAGAACAGCTGAAGCTAGAAGCTGAAGTTCTCCTCATGACTGATTTTAATCTGTTGTTTTGGCAATAACTTGTATATTTGACTGGATTTGGAAAGGTTTCTTGGCACAATTAATTATTTAATGCGTTTTCCACATACGTTATGTGCTTTGCTGATTTTGTGACATTTTCTGACACTTGTGCATCTCTGTAGAAATTAGGACAACAAGGAGGTCAGAGGGCAAAGACTGTTTTGACAGCAGAGAAGCAGAAAGGTCATAGGCTATTCCACCTGACATAAAGACTATGCTCTTCTCTGAAAATTCATCTAGAAACAGAGCTCCATGCTTACTGTATATCAAAACGGTATGCAGGAAAAAAAAAAGCAGCTTTAGCAAATCAATATGTGTTTTTCAGGGCTAGGCTGACTTCCCTTTGCACATATCACTATAAGTTTAGGAAGATCTACAGAAAAGTTATGTCCTCATTTACAGAGCAGCTGTATGACACTGGTTTCATTCTTGCTAATTTCATTGCTGTCAGCAGGATTTTAAATAGCACCAGTGAAAACAAGGATCAGGTTCACTTTTCCTCCTGCTCCAGTTTGGAAAGCTCTGAACAGACATGACAAAGAGACTGTTTGTAAACTTGGGAAGCTATCACTACATCTGTTCCAGGTCAGTTTGTATGTGGCAGGTTAACTGTTCAGCTGCAAGAGGAATCCTTTTATTTGTTTGCTTCTTTACATTTTAATTCTGCCAAAATTGACAGCACTCAGCCAGGAAAGCATCTGACTAGATCTACTAGCAAGTAGGTGTTTCAAGAATACCTTCCAGTAGCATCTTCAAGTTTAAGGAAAGATAATATTTTTAAAGAAACTTCAAACCATCAGGAAGAATTAGTTTCATACCTCTTTTCTTTTCTTTGCTGCAGTATAAAGGAGATTCTGTGCTGCTGTTGAACTGGATGCATAATCCTCAAAAACTTCTAGCAATTTAAAAAAAAAAACATATATATATATAAAATCAGAAATGTCTCCTTCACTGAATATAACATAGTAGCAAAATTCTGAAAAACCATTTTGCGTTTCTGGGACATCACAAAAATCAAGGTGACTGCATTACTTCAAAATCCTTCATGGATGCTTTCACTTCATGGCTAAAGAGTTTGGACGCAAGTTTAGGTCACCGATGAAAGCGTTTACTTCTTGCCTTCCTAACCTACTGACCACTCATCATCCTCTTTACTAGGAATACAATATTTATTCATTAGCTCTTTTGAGAGCATGTATTTAAGGGATGAAAAATTCTGGCTTTTTTAATTAAAATCATTATAGGAAGAACAATACTGCATTCCAGTGCCATCTGTATATCATATGTACACAATTTTGACTTGATTTTAATAAAATCTCATGGAAACTCTTTCTATGTAAAAAATACTCAGATCTGGAAGATTCTTAAATCTGCTGAAAGCTGAAACTTTTTAGTTTCTTTCATTACAAGTAAACCTCCTTTAATCATATTGAAAATATAATTTATACATATAAAAATCTAAAAATGTCTTAAAATGTGGCTGAAATTACACAGCAACTTCTCCTGAGATCCTGAAGATAAAAAATGATTTAAAAAAACTAATATACTGCTGAAATTCTTGTTCTAGACCAAAATACTAAACTTCAGTTAAATGTACTTTCATATTTGTTTTTTACCTGCCACAATACAATAATTCAAATCTGTATTTAATTGTCTCAGCTATACATAAAAATAGGATTCATTGTTTGCATAGAAAGAACTGAATTCAGATATCGAAAACCAGGTACCTATTTGCACCTGAGTAATCAACACTATCTTATGATACATTATTTTTCTATAATAGCTCTCCAAAGTTTTTTTTTATTCTACAAACACTTAAATTCTGTTGTTATATATGCTAGTCAAAAATCAGTTAACTAAAAATACCCAAATGCTACATGTCTCTGTGCTGCTTGGCCTACTGCAATTTTCCAGTTCAATTTGCCATATTTTTAAAGTATCCTTCTCTTTTCAATGACATGAATCTCATAGCACGAGTAATTGCCATACTATGGTCCAGTGTGATATTCCCAAAATTTTGCGCTGCCTTTTTAAAGAATACATTTTTCTAATTATTTTTCAATTTAGTAAAAACAGTTGGCAAAGTATACTGAAAACATGAACAATTTTCAATAAGGAAAGAGCAAGTCAGGCCTCTTCTGGTCAAAGCGAGAGCTGCAAGAGCTTGCAGACAGCTGTTATGTTTGAGGCAAGTTAACAGCTCCGGATTCTGAAACTGATGTTGCCAAGTTAGTCAGCCCGTCTCAGGCTGCACTGAACACATCTGAAGTGGAAAAGAAACTTTCAGAGGTTCATGTAGCTTAAGAGAACTAGCCAAATGGCCAACACTCACTCGAGCTGCCTTCTTTTAACTACAGACAAGTAAGATTTAAGAAATAAATTTTCTCTTCCTCTTATTAATGAACGCTGGTGAAGATAGAGAAATTACACTGGCAAGCAAACGCCGGCATCCTATGACTGGGACTACAGTTACAGTGAAAGCAGAAAATAAGTGCTAAGTACAAACATTTACCAAATTTCATGCGGATATATTCATATGGATCCTCTTGCCAGAGTTCTTCATCCTCATCTTTGTAGCACATTAGGGAAAATATCACTTCTTCTGTTATACTCTAATATTAGAGAAGTGAAATACATGTAAGCACAAGAAAAGTAAACTCCAGCACAGCTTCCCTCCACTATGGACCAATTTTAGTAGACTTACTTTTCTGCAAAGAGTAAAATTCTTTCAACCTGTGCTCTTTTATTTTGGCTAACAGAGATAAGCTTATAATAGACATGCCTTCCTTTTGCAGCAGACCTAGACAGCAGTAACAATATAATCTGACTGTACTATAATCCAGTACCATACACAAAATACACTTCAGAACACAGTTTAAAAACAGCAGAACACAGCATTCTGCAGAAGGACTCACAATGCTATGCTTACATAGGAACAGGTTTCAAAGTTCTTCCTCTTAACATTCATGGGATTCCTATCTAAAACCAAGGGAGTTTATGACACGAAAAAAATAAAAGTATGAAAATCACTTTTCGCTTGTTCTTAACATATACGAATTATAAAATAACTCAGAGGTTAAAACAGAGGTTCAGTTCCTTACAGTCCATGTTTTCTTTGGTCACTATCTTGCACAACAATCAACAATGAATTTCCAAACCTACGATCATTTCTAAACACTAACAACTAATAAAAGCCACAACGTTATGATTTTGTTGCAGACTTGAGCCAAGAAAAGAACTGGTGGAACAGAATCTTTATTTCAATTAACATTATTTGCAATAAATGGTAGTAAAAACTAACCACATTAGTGTAGAAATGCTATTTTTTCCATAGGTCGATGCCGCATGAAAGATTCATGAAACTCTCATTAAAGTAGCAAACCTCCTTCCTCCCCCTTTTTTTAAATCGTTCTGATGACACTCGGCGTTTATGGCTGGGTTTTATATACTTACATGTATGTGTGGCTTCATCTGCTTCCATGTTACAGAATGAATGACCCCTTGATTCAGATAATTTAATGTTTGTTGAAGGACACGTGGAGCGACATAGTTTTTTTGTCTGTATTGGTCTAAGATTTTTAAGAGTACCTAAATAAATAACAAATCGATATTTTTAAAGGGAAATCACAAATTATGTTTTATGCATTCGTGTGCAGTAGACCCTCTCAGTGAATATACATGGACAGATAAATTAGTTTTACAGTAAAAGTTACAGTGTTAGCAACCACTGTAATGCCTTTGATCCAAAGGTTAGAAATCATTTAAACTTTAAGAATCTGGTACTGCAAGCATTTGTGTACATGGTTACTTTTGCTACTCTAAATAATCCCACAATGTGATCACATGCTACAGTAAACCAAAGACACACTTAAACATTCACAGAGTCACAGTTTACATATGCCTCAGCAAAATTTGGAATAGACAAGGAAAAGACATAGGCAGAAGATTTTCGAAGTTGAGCATCTATAGGTTGGGTTCTAAATCTATTAATGGTATAATTCATTTATTTGTAAAGGACAGGCCCCTAAAGAAGATAAATGAGTGTGGAGGAACAATGATAAAAATAGAAACACTAAGCTAAAAAAGAAAATTAGGTTAGCACCTAAATCTGTTAATCCGGAGAGATGCAAAAACCTTAAACTCAGCTACCTGTTGTAACAATCAGATAGCATCATCTAGCGTGCTACCTCAAACTCCATTACACAAGGCTTCTTTATTATAAAAGGCTTGCTACACTAAAAAATACTATAGTAGAGTCTCAAATCTGCACTAGTGGGAAATGAACTGTATGTGTTAATAAGTGCAGAGAATTGGCAAGTATATGAATAACAATAAAAATAAAGCACAATACATATCAAAATATTTCTAAGTCACGTATTTTCAGACGGACAATTCCGCTTCATACTTCTCCACGGCACACTAATAAATCTTGTTTTGAACATGACACCTTCCTTGGTATACTGCATGTCATCTCAGTCTTTTACACCATACACTCCTTGGGCAAGGACTGTCTGTATCTGATACAGATACTAGTACGATGTCAGCACTTAACGAGTGATAAATAAGTAATGAAGGCTTACTAATGTAATAATGCATGATAGCACTGTAACTCTGCAGAGAAGTGTAATGGATCAGCATTTAAGAGGTAGAAATGGAAACATGCAGATCTCACAGTCCATTTGTCTTGAAAGTTTAACTGCTCCCTTTGCTACATATCCTAGTCTTTTAACAGAGGTAAAATTTAAGTATTTCAGATGAATATTGCCCATGGGAATCTACTTCACTACTCAGGAGTTAACCATTGCAAAGAGTTTAGAATAAATAATAAACTGTTTCCCCTTTCTGTTTATTTAATACTTATAGTCTTACCATAATAATTTCTCTTCTTTAGTTCTTATCATTTACATATATCCACCGAATGAATACATTGATGGATAAACTGCTTTCTTTTCAAATTGGATGGAGAAAAGTAATTTTGCTTTTCACAACATCCTGGTATTTTGACATCTAGTTCAATTCTGACTTCAAGTGACAACAACAGTTTGGCATCCTTCATAAAAGACACTGGAAATTTAAACCTGGGAGAAGCCTGCAGATGCCATGTCAGGGACACTCCATCTGACAACGTGCTGAGGAGCCACATGCCCTGGAAATATAAATTATCCAAAGAGCTGTCACTTGAAAACCAGTATTCCCAGGTGTTTGTCAGGGTTTACAGGCCAAAGAAAATCAAGGGCCTAGAATCATGAGCAGGAAAAACTACTACATTCTCCTGGCTTGTAGGCATGTAATAACTTTTATTGTTAACAAAAAAACACTTTCTATTCTGCTTATATCTTCCAGAAATAAAACACATCAGAATCTAGTGTTCCTAGGCTGCTTGCAGCAAAAGTACTTACTAAAGAAAATACATCCTTCTATGACATGATGCCTGTGCATCATTGTTTATTTTTCTGTCAGCTATATCTAGAACATTTATACATGAAAGTAACACCTTTTTTTTCAGCACTCATCTTTTCTGAGAGTTTACTGTGTGGCTTTTTTGAATCACTGAAAATTTGTGTTATTATACCTCAGTGGAGTATGTATATACTCAGTGGAGTATAGCACTGAAAAGAGTTCTAAATAACTTCTCAATGACCACAATGACAATTTGCCTGACTCTGTTCAGTTTTGTTTCCTGACTGGACTTCTGTAATAAGTGCGCTATTGAAAAACAAAAGTTCGTTTGGGAAATATGATCTAATGCAGAAACAAATTACTTGTTCTTACCTGTTGTATTCCCACAGCATATGTTTTTAAGAAAAACTCAGAGAACTCAAAGTATTCTTTCGTTACATTTCCAGGACTTCCATACCTTTAAAAAGAAGAAAACACAGACATTTAAACTGTGCTAAGTCTTGTGTGTCAGGAAAACATAGTACTTTCCAATACACAAAGGACCCTGAGCAGCCTTCCATCCCCAGGAATCCTCTTCCACAAATATCCTTTTAGGCCATTACCTCCTACACTATGCTCCACTTCCCTTTTCTTTTTTTAAACCCTCTTAAAGTACAACACTATAGCCAGGCAAACATAGCTGCTTTTTTGTCACAAGATATGTAACTTCCACGTTTTTTGATTACTTTTCAAATCTTTCCATGCCTTTATACCTGACAGTATAAGCATTTCTGTATCTTCTCCCTCCCACGCATGCTAGTTTCCTGCCAGCTTAGAGAGCCAAATCATTTTAAGATCTCATATCAGTGGCTGCGCCACTGTGAGGCGGAGGAAAGCAGCAGGACCACCTTTTTGGTGACCATGAGCTCTTCAATCAACTTAACTCTCTTTCCTAACTGCACCCCAAGTAACATTAAAGATTTGTAATCCCAAAATAATTTTTAATCTGTTCATTACCGTTCAAAAAGACGAGCTACAATATGCAATGCCCACTTCTTGCATTTCCACCACACCAGCTCTGGCCTATCATCTTCATCAATTTGCAAAGTCTCCTATAAATAAATATATTTATTATAAATTAGTTTTGTGCACTGTTGAGAGAAATTGTTTTAAACATTCCTTACCTCTGAGTAAACGAATACAAACTCATAGCTTTGAGTAAAGCTTTGGTTCTATTAACAGTTGTATAACTCAAGAACTTTTAATACCTTAATTAGACAGTAGAACTGTGTTTGTGCAATACCCGTACAATGCCTGTACTTTTAATTTTCAAAATGATGGACCTTTAAAAAACTGAAACTCTCACATATACTTAAATAACATACCGTAGCTAGCACTTTTGCTTAAAAATCAAGCATAACAGTATTCCCCCAAAGCTACATACCCTAATTATATATTAACACCAAAGCTATTAAAACGATGTTAAGGTTGTGAAATAAATTTCTAAAACTTAGGAAATATCAGTTAATTTTGCACATACCCACGAACTGAATTACTATTTTTATTTTGTTCTTCAGGAAAAGTAGAGGATGAATGAAAGAAAAAGTCAGACAGAGCCAAGTGATGGGTTTGTGATGAGTTTTTGCTTCTTGTTTGAGAGAAACCGGTTAAAATGCTTGGAAACTTCCAAAATATCCAAGATTGGAATTTCTATGACTATCACTGCCTGAGATATTGAAACTATGACAGCCTACATGACCTTCCTGCATTTGTGTCATAAACAGTGCTTAAAACTAAGAATCTTAAATAGATGACATCTTAAAAAAGAACACTTAGAAAATCTTCACACTGATTGTTCCTCAAATGCCAGCACACAAGTATCAAAAGCCTTTAGCAGACTAAACCTTACAGGAGGAACATTTCTATCAATGATAGTACGGAAGATCTCCATCCACTGAGTCATAGTCTGGTTATTCACCAACTGGAGTGGCAATGCATACTGAAAGAAGAGAAGAAAACACAGTCATGAAATACTAATTTTATCTGAAGAAGGTAGATGTTTCTACAGTAGTAACATTCCCACAAACACCCACTTTTAAGTAAAATTAAAACTAATTATGTTTTCAATAACTGATCTCAATATTACTCTAATCACATCCTTCTTGGTACAATTGACAGAGGAATTTCTGAGCGGGTACTCTATTTCTGAGAGTACCTTGGCCTGAGAACTTATCAACTCTTTTTGTTTCTTTCCCTTCTTCATAATAGCCCAGCTCACTTTTAGGGACCACAGCAGTGGCTATGTTACAGCGTTTGGGGAAACCAATGACATTTGAGTATTCTATTTTGCATTTAACATTAAGAAATGTTATTTCTCTGCAAAATCCAAAGCAATGCAACAATGTTCAGCCAAGCTTTTGGAAAATAAAATAGGATCTTTGGTTCCTTTTAATCCTTCTCCCATATAAAAACAAATTATTTTAGCTTTTTAATCCCCAGTAAGACCTTTCAAGGCTGCTTTTTATACATATGATTTTTTTCTACTTCTCATTCACTAAGAGTACTTCCTTCACCAAACTCATCTCTGTAAAAGCCAAACTCATCTCTCTAGAAGGTATGTGCCTCAGTAAATAATTTCTACCAGATTTTTAGAAGAACATGAGAAATGCCACTTACTGGAAAGCAGCCCTATTTGACAATTACGCTACAATATGCACTACTGCCACTTTCAGAGGCTAAACAGCACAAACTAAGTACTCGTATATTTTCTATCGGATAAGTGACTGCCCACTTCAGAAAAACAGGAACACTCCTCCAGCAAGTTTATAGGCAGTATGTGCATAAGTACCTAGTTCTTTAAAAGTTTAATTCGGAGGATCATGTGACCAGTTTTTAACCAGGAAAATCTATAAAGGCCATATTTTATAGAAGATACCTATTGCAAATTTTTTCCATCAGAACTGGTATTCTTATTCAACCACACGCGCACTGAAGGGGATTGCTGTTCCCAGCAAACTAAAATTTTGTTTTTCCTGTACGCAGATGCCAACCTGAACAAGAGCATAGAAGATTTTTAAGATTTGTTTCTGAAGCAGTACAGAGTAATGGGAGTTATCAGGCAGAAGCTGGATCATCTGCTGCTGAATCCGAGGCAAAAATATTTGCATTGCTGCTATAAGAGGATCTCGTTCCTCTGCTTTTTTGTATCTGAAGGAAAACAAAAATATTGGTCAGGGTCTACACAGTGGAAGTTCTAATGCCTATTCCCCACTAGCAATTTAATTACCGTACCCTAAAAAGATTAATATGCAGCACGCGCTCAATCACTCTCCCATCCTCCAGCTCCCATCTCACAGTTCAAACAGTTTGTGTCAATTCTCTAGTCTATAAATAGAGAAATTAAAAACAACAAAAGTTACCTCATATAAATGCACCCACTGGGAGGAAGGATTAATGTTCATTGCTACTGGATGGTAAGCTCATAGGAGCAGGGACTTGGCTTTCTCTGACATTCATATCGGTGCCACATCCATTTTGGATGCTGAACAAATAGGAGTGAACAGCCTTTGAAAGGGAAAGGCAACTCCTTTGTTTTAACAAGATTCTCTCTTTCTCCATTTATACTTCTTTTGTATAGTTTATACATATTTTTTTAACATCAGATGATTTAAAAAATGAATGAGAGGGCTCATTAAGCTTCTGCTAATGTATGCTTAGCAGATCTAGACTATGAGGAAAATGGTATAGATAACAAAATGTAATAGGACTATGTGACAAAGACAGTACTGCATTCATGACACAAAAGTGGAGAATAATTTGCATTCATATATCCAGCATTTGGGGAACCTTCAAACAAAGGAAGTTATAAACATTTAAGAAGCCTTTCACAGATGTGTTACATAGGATCAAAAGTTCAAAGCCTCAAGAAAAAAATGTCAGTAAACTGGTATAGCTTATTTCTGGATTCTCTGCTTTCACTGATGATATAAACATGACGAATAGTTTTCATTTATTTGCAGGAAAGCAAGCATGTGACAATTATTAATTCCCATTCTCCATCTGAATTCCCTGTAGAACAGCTAGTGCTCTTAAGAATTTCATTCTCAGTAATCAGTCGAGAACAAAAGTGCTGACTCCTGGTATACTGATGGACATCAACTTACTCATAAGTCTTCACCAGCTGATACAGGCACAGAAGGCTCCCAAGCCAACTCGCACTGTTCTGAGACTGCAAGTAGTAGCCTATCTTGTCTACCACAGCTGTCCAATTGCCAGGAAAGTCATGTTTAATGATAGCACGGAGGCACATTGTCAGCTGGGCTCTAGGGCAGGAGAGGAAAAAAAAAAACACATTGCAAAGTAAAAAAGATTATATAGTTATATCGTTTAATATTAAAGGACTGATACCAAATCTTTGTTTAATGGATACAATATACTTATTACATCATATATATGATACACATTTTGACAGCACTGAAAGCGTTCTGGGAGATGGCAGAGCAAAAGCAAGAAAAAAATGCCAGAGGATTTAACTTTAAGGACATTTTAGCTACTTTTTTCTCTTCCTCCTTACTCTCCACACCTACCAGGCATTAAAAAAAAAAAAACTTGCTTATAAAACCAGCTAGCTTTGTCCTTTGAAAATGAACGTTCACACTTTTACATGCTTATGAGGTTGAAAGTAACCACAAAAACATGAAGTTGTACATTCTATTAAGCAATACTAGCTTGTGTTACGATCCAAGTCAGAGTTTCCTCAGAAAATTTTGGCTTTCCTGAGATTTTCTAGAACAGCAATTCTCAACCTCTGAGGCACACGGAAGAGCAAATGAGGTAACATTGTATCACTTCTCTCCCTCCATACACCTTTAGAAGATATCCACTGTGGTGTTGGAAGACAGGATTTTTAATTGACTGAAGTGAGGTGTAGCTAAAAAGGTTGAGAGGCACTGCACTAGAAGCTGTAAATGCTTTTGGCTTTGCCAATGGATTTAAAAAAAAAAAAAAAAGGTCTGCAAAAAATATTTCTCATATATTTAGTTTTCCTTGGGTATCCTCTTACAGTCAATTACACAAGGAACCACTGTCACAAATTAGTTCAATAAGGGGCTCTCCACCTACTGATCCTTTTAGCTTCGTACAAACTTACCTTCTCCCTCAAGCCTTTGGAGTTTGTGCTTCTTGCTGATTTGGTTTCTTCTCCCTCCCTATTCTCACAAGCAGATAGTGAAAATATGTGAAAATATCAATATCACAGCATCATACTAGTTATAATAAAATTTCTTTGACATTTTTACCCATGTGGCAAATGTACAGGCTCTTACACAGTATTTAAAAACCCATATTTCATTCAAGGTGACTGCTATAGGGTTTTCAACAGTCCTTTTAGTTGTAGATTGTCATTGTAACATCAGGACATTTTGAGTATCAGGTTGTGAAGATGCCTGAACTAATATGCCAAAAACTCCTCAAACCTCTACTATTGCGTGCTCTTTTGGATGAACTTAATATTGGTAATTATGATATGATGGTATGGAAAACTATATGCCTTTTTTACATTATGGCAGAAACGACACAAACTTCCTTATATTGTAGCACAATCTTGGCAAGGAGTGACTATGTGTTTTAGTGGAGATCCTAATCTAGAGAATGGAAGAAAAGCTGAACTGGAAAAGATGTTTTAGTTCATTTTCTTGTCCCAGTGCAGAACCATTTATATTCCAAGCATTCCTGACAGGTGTCTGTATCATCTATTCATAAAGACCTCCAGGGATTGAGACTCTATAGCAACCTAATGTATTAACAGTGCTGCATTATTTTTTTTTTTATTTAGAGGGTTTTCCCTAGTTCTGACTTCAGTCTATCACTAATTTTCCTGATAAGACCGCTGACCAAAAAAAGACATCTGTGGGTACCTGGCAGGTGGAGAGGAGAAGGAGAGAAGAAATTTTTCTTTTGGTTTTCAAGGATGAACTTCCATACACTAGAGCCTAATCCCATCCTATCAGTCTCATTTCACTTAGGGTAGTGAACAATCATGAACTGTAGTAAGTCTGTGAACCTTAACTACTCTTCCAGGAAAAGGAGAGCAGCATTTCTTCATTTTTCTAACATCTTAAAGACAAGAATGCTAAATGCACTTAAAAAACTGGGGTTATGTACAAAAGTTGCAAAAGCAATTGAGAAAAGGGCTACAAGAAAACAGATCTTGGACAGTATTTCTCTGAATGGGTCATTCTGCTTTACAGGTAGCCATCTAATTGCTGTGAATCAGCCAAATAGGCAGGATGTCACTAGAGCAAGTTTTAGAAGTTGATTTACATTGCACCATAAAAGAATAAAACACATCACAGTGCCCTTAGCCAGGTTAATACATTTCTGAAAAATAAGTGCACATAAATATGGTAAAATGGATTATTATTATTTCCAAAATAAGTACACACTTTAGTTCTGAAGAAATTAAGATTCTCACATCAACTACATCTGGACCAGTAGGTCTGAAAACCTGACCTTTAGAAATATTTCTGCATAACATAACATACCTCACTAAGTCAGGAGAACGAATTATTCCTTCTACAATGTTATCACGAATCTGCTGACGATCATTTTCATGAATATTGAATGGAAACACTGCTTCTCCGGGAGGTGGTTCACGGTCTGGCCAGTACTGTGTCACCATGTTCTTTAGGTAAATGGCAGCTAAGTATAAGCATTGTGGAAATAATAATTTACATTTAATTCTACAAAATCTCCGCATTACTCTGTGCTCAACATGTAGTACAACTGAAAGTAGAATAATGAGTAGACAAGATGACTGGAAACCACTACAGGTTTACAGTTTTAAGCCCTAAGCGCAGCTGAGTCAGAAAACTGTTTTTTCATCGTTACAGACAACATCAGCCTCAAGTGCCTCGCATTAAACAGAATAGGGCAGCATTTCTGTTAACTTCTACTGGGGTATATTCTTCATCACACAGTCTCGCATATGGACATATTATTTTATCATTCCAGACAAGCAAACAAGAATCTACTTATCTGCATTTTTACTCACCCTCATAGTAACTACTCAGACTCAGTAAGTGAAGTTTTGGAAGGCTCATTTAAACAAATCATAGCACATACAGATAGGACATTGTGCTTGGGGAAATGCCCAGTATGAAACTGGCACACTGCCTACCTTCTATTCAGACAGAAATGTTTGTTGCAAATTCCCTAAGCTTTATCTCAATATTAGGATTTCCCATAATCCTTTAGGATTGTTCCTGACTATCTCACATGCAACACCATGAAAAATAAAGTTAATCTTCAACTGAAAGTAATAAGCATTTATGTCTCAAAATACTAAAACGCCTCTAGATGTTTTTTATGAAACACAGGAAATATGGTGTAAGATGTTAAAGAATGTTCATAAAAAAAACTGTTATCCCTTTACTTTTTTGATTGATCACTGACTAGGGTTTTAAAGTATAAGTAAGATATTCTTGGGTACAATCATTTTTCTTGGTTATGACAAATTACAGAGTACGAAAACATGTAGCTTGTTTGTAAAATATTTTATAGGAGAAAGAGGAAAAACAGTTCTTTTCCTATGACATGCCAGAATATTCAGACAAAAACCAAGTCCAGGAAGACCAGCCCAGGAACTTAGTTTACTTTGTCCATAGATCATGATGGTGTACAAATTCTTGGCTTTTTACAAAATCCCAGTGAAATCTATTGAATTACAAATTTAGTTTAAATATGCTTTTCTATATTACATCCCCACTCTGTAAAAACATTGAATTATGTTCTATATACTTGCTTGATTTTTAATGAATTACACTAAAATGAGATTTTCCATCATTATTTCATGAATTCATGTTTATTATTTTATGGAAGTGGCCTTATGGATTCTGAATTAAGCATCAAAATTTCCCCTAGAATGGTTTAACAATGGCATTCAAAGTTGGATTCTCTTTGATAATACACACACCAGCATGACAAACAGCATATGTCAGCATGCCTCAACACACTCAGGGGATTAATAGGATCTGTGCAGAAAAAACAGTGCTTCTATGGGAAATGCTGTTCCATAGGACAGAAACAGAACTGTGAATGAAGCAATACTCATTTTCTTCAAAAAGATGAATATTTTCTATATCTGTAAAAAATAATGCATAGGAGTAGTTAAAATAGATTATGAGAATTTAGCATCTGCTGCTACACTAACATAGTGCCCTGAAGTTAGATACATCTCCACATATGACATCACACATACTCTTAGGCAATCTTCCTAGAGGTGCTCAGACTACAAATTTATGACTTTCTTTGATGTAGTCTTCCCTCACATCTACTTTTGTGAGTGGACGCCATAGATATCAACTAAGAATCCTCAAGTGCCCTTGACCTATGTTTTCATTTGTTAAAAACTTTCACTTTTCCAGGAAAAAGGATTCACACAGAGAAACGCTCATTCAAACAAGATGAACTTTTTTTCTTTTTCTTAAACATCTCCTTATCTTGGCTTTGTCACTGTTCCTGAGAAGAAAGGAGAAGACCTAAAGCTCCCTGGATACTCAGTTTTGACCAGAAATCATTCTCTTTTAATATCAATATTACAGTAATCCAGTAGGGATCGCCACAAAACAAAGGAAAGCCAAAGAAAAACTCTATCCTATACCCATGGTTTTATCTGACCTTCACGTAGGAAAGAAATGATATAGAAAAGTTTCCCTGCTAAGTCTTTAAATGTCCACAGTCAGAACAAACACGAAGTTGCTTACATCACAACAGGTCAATACTCTGTTGTAATAACTAACATACTGACTTTATATTAAAATAAAATGAAACAAGAATTTTAACTCACCTGCTTGACGTACTGGAAATTCAACTTGATCTGATACTATGATTTGCAGTAGACTTGGAGCAAAATTGATGATCTTATAGGACTGAAATACATATAAAACACAGTTAGCAAATCACTGTTTTTAAAGAAGATTGCATTACCAAAAGCTGAATAAGAAACACAAACTATGAATTTTGTACAGTGTTCTTTGACTTCCCTCATGAAGACAGATTTTGGCACTTGGATTTACCCAAATCAGCAGCATTCCAAATAATTATGTGCAAAAACAGAGTATATAATGACACATAGGTGGAAGAATTAACGTAACAAAGCTCTCTAATAGAGATTAGCAATAGTAAATATTTAAATAATTCTGACTATACATAATGAGAAGCATATAGATCTATCTTTGAATTATTTAAGTTAGCATAAATAAACAAATGGATACTAACTCATTTCATCAATATATGCCATTTCTTTGTGAAGTGGATTGTGGTTTAATTGAAACACTGAATTTTGAAAAGATTTTTAAAAATAATTCAAAATTATTTTCAAGTATAAAGAGCACCCACATGAGCCACGTGTTATTCAGCTGCTTTTTTTAACTAACTGAATGTACAGTGCATGATAACACAAAAAATAAAAATTGAGGAAATATAGTGGAATAATCATTTTTAATTAAAAATAAGTGTAGATAAATAACTTTTCAAAACCTACAACTTTCCTGGGAACTTTTCAAGCACTGCATCAGCTGCACAGCTGAAGAATTTCAAAGAGAAAACAATGCTCAGTGAACTTCTGAGCAAAGCATGCCAGCTTTAAAAGATGTGAAAATCTGATAGCATTATACTGCTGCCACTCAACAGGGGTCCTCCAACGTGAAGAATCGTTGATTCAGCATGGTGCAGCTACTGCTAAGCCTTGGCAACATCAATAGTTACTAGTAGGTCAGATCTTTCATCGTTTAGATCCATGAGCTTGATGTTCAAAGATAGATGTTTCTTGGGGGCTAGACGACAGAAGCTTTCTTTATTTCACTTTTTACAGTATTTCTTTTCAACCAGATTACATCTGGCAGTTCTTTGATAATTTCCAGAGCTGCACTTTATAGAATGCCATATCCTTTCTTAGTGTTTGCATCATCTAAAAGCTGACATAAGAAGTATGCTCTTCATGGGCCCAATTCCTTGAGCTAACATTTCTATAATAAGGTAGAATTACATAGCTGTCATGATGTGTAACAGCTGCACCACAACTCTATCATTCAATAATTTTGCCAAATCACTTAAGTTTCTGGCCCTCATTTTACTCTTTGTAATGATAATGTAATTCTAACCTACTTTGTGCTCAGACTCATTTGATGTTTGCAGAGCAATTTGAGAGCCCAGATACAAGCAGTAATGGCAGATCAAAAGCATACTCTCCTGCAATTCCCTTCTCTGTAAACTTTCGTTACCCATAAGCACTGCTCAAAATAAAAGTTGTAACAGAAAGTACAGGAATTCTATTGATCTATGGAGGTGCTGAAATACTAGCTTTCAAAATCAAGTGGTTGAGGCATACTGGATTCCCAAGACCATCTTTTAATCAAGTATACTGAAGTCCAAAGACTGTCCTTCAATCAGTATAGGGTAGAATCTCTACAGTGTTGGTACATTCGGACCCATGGGTCCGAGATACCTGCCAGCAGCCTCCAGCACTCTAAGTAACTGCCAGAGATTTAAGGAAAGCACAAGGAATCTCAGCAGTGCCAAAAACCAAAAACGCGTGCAACCTATACCTGTCCTTTTTTTCTAAACTGTGCCAATAAGCTGTCCTCAGATCTAGTCTACACTCAGCTTTTACTGCTGTAATTACATTAAGAATACAATCTTTTTTTTTTTTTTTCTTTTTTCTCCGTACCAGTATCACGGTCAGTGTGAACACAGTGAGAGCAGTATAAATTATTCCTCTTTCTCTATGCAAATAGCTTTTACAGAACCTACATTAAAGCCACGACTATTCCAGGGAGCTTTATTACTACCACTTGTACTGGCACACAACTGCTATCCCTGAAATTTTTCCAGGATATACACACATATGGTTATTTGGCCTGCACAGTTCATCTTCTCAGTAAGTGCCTGGTGTGACAAAAGACACATTACACAGAAGATATGCACAGTGCCTCAAAGGAGGCCCCACTCCTACCAGCACACTGTTAGGAGGGTTTCTTCACAAAACATTTCAAATACCAACACCCCTAAAGAGATCACAGGAGCACAGTATCAAGTTCCCGCTAAATCCTTCTATTCCATACTATTATCATTACTTTTACGCTATGATTTTTAACAATGCCTTAGTTTCCGCATTCATCCTACAATTCACCTTTTCACATAGTTTCATGTTCTACCATCTCATTATCAGAAACATGAATGTTGTAGAGATCATTTTGTGTGCCCATTTTAGAAACAAGACACCTGATTCTTTTACATTTGTGAAGCTAAAATACCATAGTGCTCACGTCTGCAACATCGACCCAGTAAGGAAAACTATCCACTGCTTGCAATTTTCAGAACAGAGGACTTTTCAAAAAGCCCTATGCAGCAACATTTTTCCCATACCAGCACATTCGCATTGATTTAGTTGTCATGCTAATTGTGAACTTGGGATTTATCCTTCCCCTCCCTTGTTTGTGAAACCATATAACAGGCGTTTGGGCAACAGCAAGTAAAGCTGTAAGTATGCTGTGAGCAGGTGCCGAACAATTGTCAAAGGTGCAGCATGTAAACGCAAAAGATAATGAAGAGATCTCAACTGTCTTGCTGAACTCATCCAGCTCTATTTGTATTGTTATAGCTGCACGTGAAATCGCACAGTGTTTTCAAATTGAGAACAGGAGCACCACCTGTCCCACGGAGGGAATGCAGAGCAAGCTGCTGATTTTGAAGAGCTGTACACAGGAGCCACAATGAGGCACCAGATGGCTGAAAAAGACCTTCCGCAGAAGTCTGATAACATCCTATTTATCCAGCAGCACGCTGCTTTGTATGAGCTTGTGAATGAATCTATTTGTCTTGCATTTACATTTTAACAATTTGGTAAAATTGTCTATGAATGTTCTGATCAATGGGGGCATGTTTATTTTGAAGGAAAAAGTGAAAAAAAATTTTTTGAAAAATAAACTTTCACTGTTCATTTGTAAAGAAGAATGATTATTTTAAAGCTGTGTAAAACACATACTGACTACTCTTCCATGGATCACAGATCAAAGCATTTATATTAAAAAAAAATCACATTTAATTTCCACTGAAATTAAGAGGAAGGGATACAACAATGTGTAAGGTTAGCAGCTAAGCTGGAAGAAGCATACAGCTAGAGCGCTAAGAAGATATCATTGGGTATATTTAAAGCAATGACTGAGGAAACGCATATGTCCCCTGGCGTCTTGTTCCATCTGTGTCTCTGGATCTGTACACTGCAGCTACACATTTCCCTGCACTCTGTTGGTCCTTTTGCCTTTGGTCCAACATGCCTTTTTTCCACCCTTCAGCATTACAGCTCTGCCCTTCAAAACACATCCTTCAGTGCCTACTTCCTCTTCCATTTGATCTCACATACAACAGATGCCATCCAAGAAAGCCTCAGATGGGTCACTGAAAAACAGCAAGATGAATACCATTACATGTAAAGGACTAAAACAGAAGGAGAGGTAAACAAGAAAAATATGTACCAAATTGGATCAAATGGCTCCCCAAATGCACCCCCCTAAAGTAAATACTTTTCAGAGCTGACATTTAGGTGCGGCTCCCAGGATATCATTCATTACATGCTACTCAACTTATTTCGAGTAAGTATTATTCTTGTATCTCGCTTGTTGCGGCATCAAAAGCCTAAAGCAAGCAGCTACTCAGTAGTCACGTTTGTCAGTAATCTTCCCACTACAGCAACAGCAACTGCTGGGGCTGACTGCACAGGAGGAGATTTCTTCCTCTGTAGGACAACAACAACAAGAAATAGTCTTCTGTCCAGTTCTGCAAGTCAAGTCAAGACCATCTTTCTCTGTCAGCAGTAAACAACATCTTCTCCTTTTTAATCTCTGAATCCAAGTATGGCACCTAAAAAATGGGTTTTCTGCTCTTGAGTTGAAAAAATCGAGGCACTACATTTTTGTTCATAAATACACAGGAAAAAAAAAACGTAGCCTGAATATCTAAGCAATTAACTGTTTGCAAAGATTATTTTAAGGCTTTCATGCATTTGAGTTGAATGTTCTACTATCTGTTTTACTAAGCTTTATTTTTTCGCTTACTACGCACTGAAAATGTGTTACTTTTAAACTCTCTCAGTCTTTTTTACACTTGGGAATATTGTTGCAGTTGCTAATAGTATTCTCTCTTCTTCTTGACATTAGCAGTCACAGATAGGTTGCTAAAATAAGCTAGTACTTTGAAAGACACTTCCTTCTTTCCCTGCCTACATGCAAAACCATAATTTTGGGAGGGGGGAAAAAGCACAAAGTGTTTTCACACACAGTGAGGATAAACACGTATAAGAACGCTTACCTGAGCTGCCTTGTTCTGCGGGTTCTGTCACCAAACTCTTCCAGTCTCGAACAAACTCCGCTTTCTACAGAATTTCTAACGTGCAAGTCAACCTCCCCATCAAATTTGTCCTGAGTGTGAATATCTCAAATTCCTTCCTCTTGGTAACATGAGATGTTCATTGAAACTTCCATGGTGGCCTTAAGATCCTGACTACTATGATACCCAGCTCAGCACAGATGTGGAAGAAATGGAAAGAAGTCTAATTTTATTTTGGACTCTTCTGTTTTTTGGCAATCTTGTCATACTTTCTTCTACTCCCAGCACTGCTCCTCAGTTCCTGTCAAAGCCAAATTCTGCAACTTCTTCTCAATGTTTGAACAAAAATCTGTATTTCTGCAGTTGTTTTCACACCGTCCCTTTCGTCACAGGCCAAAGAAATGTATGACAGCAGGTTGAGTCAATGAAGATTAACATACAAAAACTGTACTGGTAATCCTTTCTGAATTGGAACCAGTAAGAGATGACTTAATACGTTCACGTAATCAGACAATACCATTCCACAATATTCCAAGAAACTGATGCACAAAAGCAGTATTTAGCCATTTAAAAAAAAATTTTAATGACAAAAAACCCTAAAGTCCATGAGCTAGACCAAAGTCTAAAAGCCTAGAACAGATATCAAACAGGTGTTATAGAAAGGAGGCGTGTGGAAATCCAGTATCTTTCTTTGATATGACAATAGACTGTTCTAATAAGAATAGTGTGATTGATAAACATGTTCCTAAAACGTAAACCAATTATGATGTGACAGAGGTGAAAAAAAAATGCAGGGGGATGTAAAGATGGCGTACATTTAGAAAAACAACAGGCTAACAGAGAAATGACAGTGGCCATGTGATAGAGATTACTGATCTGGTAGGAAATTACTACTCTAGGTTATCAAGAATTTATCACATTTCAGATCAATCCCTCACTTGCATCTGTGTTCAGGTCACGGAGAGAAGTGGTCTGATGACACAGAAGTTGCAGCCATCACCAGAAGGGAAAGATTAGAAAAGTCCTGAAAAGAACCGAATGATCTTTAGAACTAGAGCAACAGAAATGGAATGGACAAAGGATGAAGTACAAGGTCATGCACTCAAAGACTAATAGGAATTTCTACTAAAAAGCTAGAGGCTTGTTAGTGAGGAACAACCACAGGAAAAAAAGGACCTAGGAATATTAAGCAATAACAGATATATAGACCTTTAACATGAAAAAAGATAGATGCTAAAACTACATTTATCAAATGCAGCACCAGTGGCATTGAGCATGAGACTACCTAGAATGCTGGGAACATAGATGACCAGATTTGTACAAGAATGATTAATTCAAAGGGAAACAAGTGTGCTCTCATATAATCAGATTTCATAAATCCCATTTGATGATAAGGCAAAGGAAATAATAGCTTATTGAAGCCAGGAAAACATAGGCTGGTAAGGATCACAATTTTCTGTATTAACATGTCAGAATGAGCACCAAGGACCAGAGAAATCTCTTCTCAGTAAGATATAGGATTGGCAGAAGTAGATATAAATGGATCACAAATTAATTTAGGTTGGAAAATGGCACTCATTTCTAGCTCTGGGAGCAATAAAGTTCACAAACAGGTTTCCAACAAAAATAATACAGGCAAAACAACTGATTCCATTTCTGAATGCAGTTGCCTGATAACCCAGAAGGTAAACAGCAGCTTCATCGATTTAGTTGCAACTCTGCACAGGTGCATAAACATACAGAATAGAATAAAAGGTATTTTCAGATACGCTGGCGACTTTTTACAGGTAGACAAGCTTTCATTCATTTTAACTCCATTCAGCAGAGCTCAACATTGTAACCATATTAGAGAGTCAGGACTATTACCCGATTGCTGCTAAAGGACTCTGTATTGGTTCAAGCAATGAAGTGTTTGCACAGAGACATTTATACCGGTGGACTAGTAGCAGTAGGTTCTGCAGAGTATGGGAAAATCCAGACACTAACTGGATTAAAAACTGAAAGCAAATGCACACTGCATATGGGCTAACACAAGACAAGTTTCACCTCTGCACCCTTTGGCGTGTATCAGGAGCAGCACTGCTTTAGCTATTGCACAGAATAAAGGT